ATGCTAACCTTGATGGACCGATGGTCTGAGTCTGTCTATGGCAGCATCATGTGTATTCATGTGGGTCATGGCTGAGTTGTAGAGCCACTTTGCAAGGCGAAAGCCTCATGTTCGATCCCTGGCAGCTTCAATTAAAAGGCTCAAGTTAAATTCCCATTTAAAATGCTCAGTTCATAGGTGGTGGGAAAGTCTTTGACTTCAGACTCTGGAGAGCCGCTGCCAGTTAGAGCAGACAGCGCTAACCTTGACAGAGCAATGATCAGACTCGGTATAAGCCCCACAATACTTAGTATATTCAGGGGTCATTTCCTGCAGGAGCGCACAGGAGCGGAGCTCCGGCAGTAAATAGCCCAGGGGGCGGGCACATGCAACAAGCCCCACCCTGGCTGCAAGAAGCAGCCAGGTAAGCTGCAGAGCCCCCCCCCCTCCCCTGGCCTCCAGTCCAAAACAGTCCAGTGGCACCTTTAAGACCAGGTTTTATTCAGGTATAAACTCTCCCTCCTCTGCAAGGACAGATCTGCATGTCTCCCCCCCCCCCCAATACCTAGCAATCCAAAACAGTCCAGTGGAGCCTGAGCGGTGGGTGTTGCCTTCTGACACAAGTCCGGTGATGCCAGGGGGTGTGGCATATGCAAATAAATTATGCTAATTAGTTATGCTAATGAGCTCCTGCACCTCTTTTTCTACAAAATGACCCCTGAGTATATTGTTCCTGAGGAAACGACCAACTTGAAAGTAAAAGCAATAAAACGACAAGGCCAACAGTAACACAACTGGTTAAAAGGCTTGTAATAAAAACCATCAAGCCGGGCTGTTAGAATTGAAAACCAACCCAGAACCAATTTCTTTGTGGGGCAGAAAGATCGTGATGATAACAATTGGAAGGAGCAGCCCAAAAGGGGAAAGCAAATTACTGAATCTGGCTAGGGATCAGACCGACGGGGGACTGGACGACAACCGCAGTCCACCAAATAATGACTAACTTCTAGGCAGGGGGAAAGAAATATTTTCATGCGGTGTGCGAAGCAAAGCTCAGCAAGGTTGGCTCCGTCAAACTGATGGAGGGAGGGGATTCCACATTTTAGATCCCATGATGGCACTGGCAGGGCTTTTTTAAAAAAAAGAAAAGAAAGAAAGAAAAGGTGCCAGAACTATCAAGAGGAGTAGTAGTAGCAGGGCTATTTTTGGGCAGGAACGCACAGGAACGGAGTTCCGGCTGGCTCCCAAGTTGGCCACGTCCAGCAGGAACTCATTAGCATAATAGGCCACACCCAACCGCAGAAACTCATTAGGATTGGCTACATTGGGGGGGTGGCCTAACATGCAAAGGAGTTCCTGCTACAAAAAAAGCCCTGGGTTTTGACAACAAACAAATCAAAAGGTGGGTGTGGCTGGATAACCACACTTCTGGTAATGAGGGTGCGGCCTAATGTGCTAATGAGCTGTGCTGTCAGGGGTGTGGCCCAATATGCTAATGAGTTCCTGCTGTTGGGTGTGGCCTATTATGCTAATGAGTTCCTGCTGGGCTTTTTCTACAAAAAGAGCCCTGATAGTAGTAGTAGTAAAATTTATTGTGTAGCCATTGGCCATTACAATTTAAAACAATATAGAATTGCCTGCCCACCCCTTGAATGAAACACAACCCGTTATGGGTTAAACTGGGAATTTATTTACATATAAGCTGATCTGCACCAATACATTAAAGCACGGGTTTCCGTGGGCTTGCAAGGCAAGCCACCAAACAGGGCAAACCCACCCCAGGTCAGAGCCTGGCCTATCCAGGTCAGCTAACTTAGTGTGGAAGGTGCTGTTAAGTTGCTGCCAACTTCTGGTGACCCTGTAGGGCAGGGATGTCGAACTCATTTGTTATGAGGGCCGGATCTGACATAAACGAGACCTCGTTGGGCCGGGCCATGTGTGTCATAAAATGTAATGCCAGGTAGCGGAGATATAAACTTTATAAAGGACACAAACACAAAGGTGGTTTTTTTTACTCCAAATAAAATCATGCTTAAAACATTAGCGCTCTTGCAATATTTTGTTTATTTAATGGTGTCTCTGGCTCTGAATTATCGCATCAAAATGTCTGTGCTGTTGCAATCTTGAGTATGCTGTTCAGGTGTCTATCTGTAAGCTGCAAACCTACGATGACACAGCAGCAGCAGAACAGGAAGAAGAAGCAGAAGACAGCCAGTTCCACTGCGGGCCTGATAGAAGCCCTGTGGGGGCCCAATCCGGCCCCTGGGGCACATGTTTGACACCCCTCCTGTAGGGTTTTCAAGGCAAGAGATAAATAGAGGGGGGTTGCCATTGCTTGCCTCTCTGTAGCAATGCTGGATTTCCTTAGTGGTTTCCCATGTCCCATCCAAGCAGGGGTCATTTTGTAGAAAAAGAGGTGCAGGAGCTCATTAGCATAACTCATTAGCATAACTTATTTGCATATGCCACACCCCCTGGCATCACCGGAAGTGTGTCAGAAGGCAACACCCACCGCTCAGGCTCCACTGGACTGTTTTGGATTGCTAGCTATTGGGGGGGGGGGAATGTGCAGATCTGTCCTCACAGAGGAGGGAGAGCTTGTGCCTGAGCAAAACTTGGTCTTAAAGGTGCCACTGGACTGTTTTGGACCGGGGGGTCGGGCTCTGCAACTTACCTGGCTGGGAGCAGGGGGCGGAGCTTGTTGCATGTGCCCGCCCCCTGGGCTCTTTACTGCCGGAGCTCCGCTCCTGTGCGCTCCTGCAGGAAATGACCCCTGCATCCAAGTACAACCAGGGCTGACCCTGCTTAGCTTCCGAGGAGACTGGGCTAGCGTGGACCATCCTGGTCAAGGCAGAGTCCATCAATACTATGGACAGAGATGACAAGGTTACCAGATGTCCTCTGTTTAGAGGACATGTCCTCTGTTTTTGGTGTTTGTCCTCTTTTGGGCTCTTTAAAAGAAACTGATGAAAATGTCCTCTTTTGGAGTTGGAAGGTTAGGAATATTCCTAGTTGGTAGCAATTACCACACCTTAAATAGTAAAAAAAAAAAAAAGGTAAAGGTTCCCTTGCTCGAAAGCCAGTCGAATCCGACTCTAGGGTTGCAGTGCTCATCTCCGTTTCAAAGCCGAAGAGCCAGCGCTGTCCGAAGACGTTTCCGTGGTCATGTGGCCGGCATGACTAAACACCAAGGCGCACGGAACGCTGTTCCCACCAAAGTGGTCCCTATTTATCTACTTGCAATTTCTTGCTTTCGAACTGCTAGGTTGGCAGGAGCTGGAACTAGTGACGGGAGCTCGCTCCGTCATGCGGCAACTCGGGTCTCGAACTGCTGAACTACCGACCTTCCACAGCCTGCAGTTCAGCGTCTTAACCACTTGATTTGTCATTGTAATCACTAGTCGGGAAATATGTCCTCTATTTTGCTTTTTAGAATACGACAATCCTGGTGATGGCTAAATAGAACTTCCATGTTCAAGTTGGAAAACAATGTGATGTGGAGGTGGGGGTACAAGAGGGGAAGATATTGGCCACCGTGCCCTTCTTGGTTGCCTTCTGGGAACTCTGTTTGGCCACTGCTAGAAGCAGGGTATAGGGCTAGAAGGACCTTTGGATTCATCCAACTGGGCTCTTCTGAGAGCCAGTTTGGTGTAGTGGTTGGTAGTGTGGATTCTAATTTGAGAGAACTGGGTTTGATTCCCCACTCCTCCACATGCAGCTGCTGGTGTGACCTTGGGTCAGTGACAAGTTCTCTCAGAACTGTTTTCTCAAGAGCAGCCCTTGAAAGAGCTCTCTCAGCCCCTTCCATCCTCACAGGGTGTCTGTGGTGGGGAGGGGGAAAGGAGTTTGTGAGCCGCTCTGAGACTCCTTTCGGGTAGTGAAGGGCGGGGTATAAATCCAATCTCTTCTTCTTCTTCTGACGTCCTTCCAGTTCAGCAGAGTTGTTCTTAGGTTGCCACAAGAAGGAAGGTTCAGGAACTCATCCGGTGAAACTGGATGCTAAATGTGACCTTCTCACACAGACCACCACTCATACATTCCAGATGTTTATTTCTTTATTTCATGTATACCCTGCCTTTCTCTCCAACGGGTACCCTAAGCAGCTTACATCCTCCTCCTGCCCCCCCATTTTGTCCTCACAACAGCCCTGTGAGGCAGGTCCGGCTAAGAGAGTGCAACCGGCCCAAAGTCGCCCAGCAATCTTCCATGGCACGAGTGGAGATTCGAACCTGGGTCTCCCAGATACTAGTCTGACCCTCTTAACCACTACACCACTCTAGCTGTCACTGCTACACATCTCAGACTATGTCATATTAAGGAGCTAGCTCATCACCATTGCGGCCAACTTCCTACTTTAGCATTTCCAGGGAGAATGAATGAGAATTGCTGCCTATTTCAATACCTGATATGAAGAAGAAGATTGGATTCATACCCCGCCCTTCACTACCCAAAGGTGTCTCAGAGCGGCTTACAAACTCCTTTCCCTTCCCCTCCCCACAACAGACACCCTGTGAGGTGGGTGGGGCTGAGAGAACTCTGACACAAACTGCTCTTTCAGGAACAGCTGTGCCGGAGCTTGTGACTGACCCAAGGTCACATCAGCAGGTGCAAGTGGAGGAGTGGGGAATCAAACCCGGTTCTCCCAGATTAGAGTCCACACACCTAACCACTACACCAAACTGAAAGGTACAATGAGGGGTGTGTGTGTGTGTGTGTGTGTGTGTGTTGTGAATCCAAAAGGCAGGGATGGGGATATTTTAGTGCTCCAGCCACCTCCCACCGCAGTTTGATCAAAAGCACAGTTTGCTCAGGCTTGGCAGAGCGGAGAAAGAGCATCCCTGCAGGCAGGTGAGAGAAAAGTTAAAGAGCCAGCTGCAGACGCTGCTGTGTGTGTCTTTCTTCCGCCACTTGCTGTTTATGTGCTGTGCGATTACAAAAAATCCTCCCTCCCTCCCTCCCTCCCTCCTCCTCCTCCTCCTCCTCCTCCTCCTCCTTCTTGGGCTCATTTGCTGGAAGGAAGCGGCAGCACACGAGCACAAGGCTGAGCGGAGAAGTTTTGGCATGGACTTGGGAAGACGGAGGGGCTGGAGGTTGGGAGACCCAGCGCACCGGCCGGCCGGCTGTTCCCCCACAGCACCAGCATGCTGGCAGGCTGCTGCGTCTCCTGCTAGCTCAGCCCCCGGTGGGACCCGGTTTGGAACCACCACCTTTTAGCACCAGCCGATGGGACTCTCCAGGTCTCCTCCTTGGAGATAAGATTCCCCTCCCTAAGCAGCAGCAGCAGGGGAGACGCTCCAGTGCCAGAGGGGAGGGGGAGCTGTCTCCGGCCAAGGGTGAAGGCTCTCCTCTCAGAGACCAAAGAGGTCTGTCTGACTGTCTGTCTTTGGACGCTGATTTGCTCAGAGCGCACGGGTCTTCAGGAGCCGAAGATGGAGAATGAGGTTGGGAAATCTGTGGATAACCAAATGGATAAATACATGTAATTATTGATCGGTGTTCTGTTCTCTTTTCCTTCTTCTTCTTCTTTTTCCCCTCCTCTTTCCGTGCTCGCTCCTGCTTCCAAGCCACCATCTCGCCTGCTTCCCCGCCTCCGGTTCTGCTGACGGTCTTTTGGATCTAGCGCACTCCTGCCCATTCGGGAGGCCAACCCGTGGCTCTAATCATGATGTCCCCTTCTCCTTTAGAGTGACCATCATGGGGAAATCGGAAAGCCAAATGGATATTGTGGAGAAATCAACCAGACCTGGGCAGAAGTCCTGGAGCTTTGTCACAATCGGCCTGGCGGTGCTTCTGGTCCTCATGACCTGTGCCGTGGTGGCGCTCATCTTCCTGTACTCCAGCGGCAGAGGTAAGGAAACTCCTGGTGTCTTTTCTGGCTTCTTCCAAGGTTTACAGGTGTAGGGGTGCCACCTGCAGTGCTGAGAAAAAGGGCTACCGTTACTTATGAACCACCGTGCCCCGAACCACACCATGGGTCCATCTTGCTCTTATTCTCTGTTCTGACTAGCGGCCACTCTCCAGGGGAGGGACTGTGGCTCACTAGTAGAGCATCAGCTTGGCATGTTGAAGGTCCCAGGTTCAATCCCCGGCATCTCCAATAAGGATCAGACTGTAGGTGATGTGAAAGACCTCCGACGGAGACCCTGGAGAGCGGCTACCAGTCTGAGTAGACAACACTGACTTTGATGGACGCATGGTCTGATTCAGTACGAAGCAGCTTTGTGTGTGTTCATGTGAGTCCTCGCTCAGTAGTAGAGCCACCCTGCAAGGTGAAAGCCCCAGAGAGGTCTTTCCTCACCCTTGCTGTCCGAGACTCTTTACCTTGAGATGCCAGAAACAGAATCCGAGACCTTCTGAACGCACGACACGTTGTCTTCAATGCTCCCTCTAAGCTGTGGAGTCTCGTGAGCAAAAATTCTACATTGTGAGCGAGCAATTTGGCCACTGCGGAAATGAGTTTGTTCTGGAGCCACCTCCTTCCTGAGCGAAGTCAAAAACGTGTGTGCCAGAGGCTAAAAAACTGTGAGCTTGCTCACACTAACTCAGCTTAGAGGGAACACTGCTTGTCTTCCCCTTCCAGGTAAACTGGTTTCTGAGTCTACTTACAAAATCATCCTCCCAAGGCCTTTTGTTAAAGGCACCTTGAGATATGTTAAACCCCCCCCCCTGTATTTTCAAGCTCAAGACGTAAATCTTGACTTGCAAGGAGCTTAAAAATGAGGGGAAGAGCCCCTGAGTGATCACAGGCTCACTTTTAACAAGGGCTCAGTTGGCTGTTAGTTACACAGTTCACGCTTTCTAGCAGAATGACCCAAATTACCAGGCAAGAAGAGAAAGATGAGATCCCACGTCTTTGATTAAGTCTTTCAGTTTCAAATCCTCGCTCTCATGGGAAGTTCCTGAGGGGTGGGGGAAATGAAGGCAGCAATAATATTCAAGATTATCCGAGATTCAGAGGCAGAGTATGCAGATCCAGTCCCTGGTACATATATTTAAAGGTTCTGAGAGAGCTGGTTTTTGGAAGGACCCTTCTCTGCCCGATACCCTGGAGGGCTGCTGTCAGTCACCCTAGACAGTCCCAAACTGGATGGACCAGTCATCTGAGATTTGGCATCATGCAGCCTCATATGTTCATCTGCATGTTCAAGTCCCCCAGACTGATCTGGGAAAGCTGAACTGGGCTAACAAGCTCTCTTTCGGCAAGCTGCTTGACAAAGCCTGTCTGTATGGACGATTTCACCTGTGATCAGCAGTTTGAAGGGTTCTGTCTGGAGGCAGAAGGGAACCTGTTTGTTTGTTTAGAGGGGGGATAATGCTATGAAATCCAACACAGCCATGCTTCAGGCGGGCCTGTGAACTGTGTAATTTGGTATCTTTTGCAGAAAGTCAGAGGCAGTCTGTCATTAGAAAGGAGAGTTTTTAAAGTAACACCCACACAGAAAGCACATACACTAGAATGGCTGCGGCAGGGGGAGAGAGAGAGAGAGAGAGAGACTGTATTTATTCTACCTTTAAAAGCTGCCTTTGGAAGGCGTTGATGAGGTATTGGAGAGACAGCTCCGAATGTAATAGCACCCCCAGTGACATCTATGACTTTCATGCCAATAAAGCGTCAGCATGCTCAAGATGTGGCCTCCAGGGGCTTCTTAAAATTTATGGAACGGGTCAGACCGTGGAGCTTAGACGGTCAACATCGAACCAGACATTTTTCCGTTATGCATCCAAGAGCGACTCCTTTCAGACCAGAAAAGTATCGGTGACAATTAGTTTTGTGTTTGAATTTTTACAGAGGTCGATTGCCTCCCCCCTCTCGCTCTCTTTTTGCGTTCATACTCCCTTTCCAATTTTAACCGTAAATGTTCGTGCCGATCCAAATGTTTCGCCCGTATCCCCCCACGGCTCTGGATTCGTTTGTATATAGACTCTCGCTGCAGCTGATGTTCAGATTTCATGGGGTGGACGGCGATGTCCTCTGATGGGTTTGTTTGTTTGTTTTCAATGAAAAGCTGCCATGAGATGCTGCCAGACGGAGTCAAAGACCAGGAACTTGGGGAAGAAATTCTTAACCCTTTTCCCCCAGGCCATTTTCCCCCCACTCAACCCCCTCTTCCCCCCCCCCCAGCTGTTTTTCTCCCTATGGAGAAAAATCCAACCCCCTTCCCCAATGGAGAAAAACACTGAAAGAGAATCTTAAGGAGGAATTAGCATATTTTCACCCCATCTGTTCCTTTACTATTCTTCAAAGTTCCCTAAAATGGCTTGACCTGAAGAATCTCTGAAACTAATTCCAGATATGAAATATTCAGTTTGTCGCAGATTTCGGTCCCTTTTGTACATTTGTACCCTTTCTGCTGTGATGTGCATTAATAAAGCACTGCAAATAGTTGATCATACTTATGACCACATCAATATTTGTTCCGTGTGGCATTTTACCAGTTGCAGAGTATTGGCGCACATTGGTAGAACACCACACAAAAATATCTTGATGCAGTTGTACCTGCAGGCACATCAGAATTGCTTTATTTATTTTTTTGCAATGTTTTATCAGTGCAGAGTAGTAATATTAGGAGAACCAGAAGGAACTCAAAACTGTTGCAAATGGTGTGTGTGTGGCATTTTGCCATGTATAGCTGCTCCAGCATCCTCATGGTGTTCAAAATAGAACACAAGTTTAATTTGTCAGCTCAAGTTTTTATAAAGGTTATAGCCATATCAAGTGATCTGCTCTGTCCTTTGGCTGCCCTGGTTTAACTAGGAGTATATCTTAAATTAATTCTGGAATTACATCATGTGCAGTATGACGAAGACTTAAATTCCTTCCATTCATGTGCATCTTTTCCTCCTCTGCCTTAGTGATGGGCATGCACACATTAATAACACTTTACCTTTTTACCCCCAAAAATGATCTCGATGTGATCATATGCATGATTGCATGAAGAGGCAAGCATCAACAAATGTGCCTTGATTGGTAAAACACCACACACAAAAACACTTGGTAAATTGCTTTCTTGCCGTGTTTTACCAATGACATTAGTAATGGAGGGAAAGTGTATTAAAGCACTGAAGGAACATGAAGTGTCAGCAAACCATGAATGTACAGTGCTTTGAATAATGTTTGAAGTTTTCTGGGACCTGGAGGATACATAATGCATCAACTCCCCTCTGGATACAACAACAGATGATTTAAAACTATAGAATCTCAGGAGGTTCCCTAATCTGGATTAGTAAAACAATTAAAATTGGAAGTTGGGGCAAAATTACATGTCACTGTATATCATATATAGCTTAGTGTTACAAATAATTAGGAAAGAGATGGTAATGTCACTAAAACCCTGACCTGGATAGCCCAGGCTAGCCCAAATCTCATCAGATCTCAGAAGCTAAGCAAGGTCAACCCTGGTTAGTATTTGGATGTGAGACCCTAAGGAAGTCCAGGGTCACTAGGCAGAGGCAGGCAGTGGCAAGCCACCTCTGAACCTCTCTTACCTTAAAAAAAAACCCTACGGTGTCACCATGAGTTGGCTATGACCTGACAGCAAAAAGAAAGCAAGCAAGCAAAAGAACTGTAATGAAAAGAAGTAGGACCCTGTACATCATAAAAGACTTAAAAGGAGGTGGCAGCCAGATACTGAACTCATAGCCTAAAAGAGCCAAAAGACGGTGGGTTTCCTTGAGAAAGAGCCGAGAAAGCCCTGTTCCATGTGACCAGTTGTTTAACATCTAAAAACAGGAGCGTTTGGGGCGGTAGATTTGCTTGCTTAAGATAGCGGTTCTCAAACTTCTTGAAGTGGAATTTGCTTCTAAACTTAGGCTGCGGTCACATGCACAGTTTGTGGCGCTGTAGTAGCATTACCTGAGCTGAATAAATGGGCAGATGAGAACATCTGCCTCCTGTGGCGCAGTCGTCAGCAGCCCATGCTGTTCCACAATGGAAGTGGAATAATAAACAGATACCAGGGAAAGTCCAGTATTAAGTTTGTTCGCAGTTCCCTCCCGGTTTTCTGACATCCGAACTCTCCTGCAGCGAAAGGGACCTGGAAGGGACATCTGAACTTGCAGATCCGTTTCCACCACTGTTTTTTTTTAACATTGCTGCCTATATGCGCATGTGTGCATGGCACATGTCTGCATCCACCCACCTGCATTTAAATAAAACTCACCCTTACGGCTTGTCCCGTGGTTGAAATTCAACGCTAATGTGGATGCTCCCCCATGGGCTGGCCATGCCACTGGGTGTGTGGTCTGGATGGAATGCTCTGCTACACTTTGAACTGGTACGATTTGAGGCGCCACCATACCACGCCAAGCCGCCAGTGTGACCGCAGCCTTACTGTACCTTTTGGGAACTACTTGTTAATTCCAGCTATTTGGGTACACCACTTCTGATTGAGCCCCTGTTGCATAGGGTCATCAGCCTCCAGGTGGAATTTATGGAGATCTACTGGATTTACAGCCAATCTCCAGATTTTAAAGATAAACTCTCCTAGAGAAAATGGCTGCTTCAGCGGGTAGATTTGCAAGCAGTTATTGCATTGCATTTTGCATTGCATTTTGAGAGCCACTGGTTTTGGAGATGTTTATAGCATAGGGTCATCAGCCTCCAGGTGGAATTTATGGAGATCTACTGGATTTACAGCTAATATCCAGATTTTAAAGATAAGCTCCCCTAGAGAAAATGGCTGCTTCGGCGGGTAGATTTGCAAGCAGTTATTGCATTGCTTTTTGCATTGCATTTTTAGAGCCACTGGTCTTGGAGATGTTTATAGCTTACTTTTTTTACTGGTACTCAGGGCAGCAATGTGAAATTAAAACAGCAAATACAGAAAGAAAGAAAAAAAACACAAGTAT